CGTATCCAAACCCTGTTTTGTTGAGTGGACAATCTATCCTCAAAAATCACTCCGTTCTTGTGGATCTTCAAGTGACTTTCCTGGAAATATTTCAGCCTCGCGCGCACAACGATTAGACCTAGGTTGCATCCTTCGTTCAAATAGAGACGAAAAACGCCAACACTTTCCTTATATAATCATGTTCATCACCGCAGTATGCTAAGATGGCATATCAGTTATATAGTTAATAGTGTACATGTAACAATGTTTTAGAAATAGATAAATTGTTATTTATAAATAAACAACGGATTTGTTTGAATAAAAAAAATTTGAATTGGATAATCATTATAAGGATTTATCTGGCTTATTAATAGTTGTGGCTTTGTCATTAAAGTCCCATGGAATCAAAACATCGATTTCCATCTATAAGATAAGTTTCTGAGACTTCTGTTGATAAGATGATTTGCAATGCACATATAAATCTCTTCTTTTTTATTGTGATATATATTGTCTTTAGACACGACAGGCTAGTCGTAACTGACATCAATTTCGTTATTTTAAAAATGGTATTTATAAAACGCTTACTGTCGGGAACGGAACACAATAGAGCCCCTATACCTGTTATTGATATTGCTATACGAGATATCATCATTTGTGGAAAAGGGAGACATCCCTTTTGAAATAAGATACAAATAAGGAAGGAGAGCAGGATATATGTAGCTGTGGGCGCAGCGCCTAGGATATTGGCCTAGGAAATACCTTGTCCTAAGAATGATTAATACAGTTGTATGATTTCCAAACGCACCAAAATTGCCGTGCACCACCGTTAGATCATAGTTCGCACAACTGTGCGATTTAACAATTGCTCACCCCATTGTGCGATTAAACGCGCACATATGTCCGATATGGTAAAATCGGTTTATCTACATTACGGAATGAAAAAAAATCCGCAATACTCGAGTGAAATAAGGTACATCGTACAGTACATTTACAATATCCGATCGGTATACTTTGCACTTCAATTCTTCAAGGCATATGATACAATATTACAATGACTGTAAAACGGTTTATAATGGGGTTATATTGTCAGATAGGGAATTGAATGGACCGGATCGCACTGTTGTTCGATAGGTATACATTAAGAAATGGCTTGTGAATGAATACGATTTCGTATGTAAACTTATATCTTTCCTGATTTAAGTATGGTATCATATCTTAGCCAGACTCACATGGCTATCCAATCATTTAGCAGTAATGGACACATCCAAAAATGTTCTGAAACGTAATTTGATACAATGTAAGCAAAGCAGCCATACCTGACACAAGCTACCTGTTCATTACCAGATAACGGGTACATTTCGTTTTCCTAGTCAACCGTGAAGGAGATTTCAAATTTCCATACAAAGCAAAACAGACACAATTGGATTGACATGCAGAAAAATAGCGTGCGTATAGAAATATTGAAGCAATAATAAAATATTAAACACAAGATCGATTTTGTTTTCATTTTGAAAAAATAGATACATGTATTTACGCAAATGAGCAGTTGTTTTAGAGTATGAAATAATATTAACCATCTGCTGCGTTATCCACTTTGTCAAAAACATATCTGTTTGATGGTTTGTTTGTCACAGTTTTTGAAACTTTTAACTTGTTTTAGCTTTTACATCACTACACTGCAAGGTTGATTTTGTAATAACACACATAGATTTTACGGCATTCTGCCATGAAATGAAAAACAAAACTTTCCTGTGTTCTGTAACCAAACCCCTGAAGGTACTCGGACAAAAACAAAAACATCAGGAAATGACCGAAGTGTCACCTCAACCGTAAAACGAACTCAGAGTGGACCTAAATCTTTGCATTTGTTTCTTCGATCGAAAACAGTAATTATCAGAAACATGTTATTTTCTAGATATAATATCTGAATGTCGTGGAAGAAAAAGGTCTCCAAACTCGGAAGCTGCCTCGGGCTCGAGTAGGCCCGTGCCTACACATAATGTTGTCAACTGTTTGTTTCCAGTCAGTGTAAATTCAAGAAATTAAAAAAATTGAATATGTGTATTCATTTTAAATAAAGATTATATTATATCCAAGATATTTGGTTAAGTTCTAGTGCAAAGTGCGAAAATCATATATCAGATTTATTTCAGTCACGCAACGATGAACAAGGTACGGAAAATTCGAAATATAAAAGTTCAGAGACCATGTCAGAGAATCCCTCTCGCAGTGGAACTGTCTCGTCTTGCAATCTTTGCCTGCAGACACTATTATATTGTCTGCTTGCAAAACAAGAACTAAGCATGCTTGATAAGCAAGGTAACCCTACCTATACACTTTCGAGTTTTTCGAAAGACAAATTCTGGTTAATCACGCTTCTGTATTTCAACCTCCAAATACCCTTTAATGAAAAGTTTACAGACCTACCCCGAATGTATTTGATTCCGAAATTTCACGAGAATCCTTATAAATAACGTTTTGTCTTTGGCTCATCTCGTTGCTCAACCAATCTGTGGAATACATGCGATGTGGAGTTTGAAGAATTTAAACATCTATTTACCTATCTTGAACATCTTCTTCTCAAACATATTTCCTCTATCTCTTCCTAAACTTTTAACTTTCCGACCCTTTACACTACTACATGTATTCATCATACCAAACAAAAAAAACGCATTCGTTATCTTATAACAAGAGCTATGCGGCGAACTACGATATAAATGAATTGTTGTAAATTGTTTAGCAGCATATTTTGTGAAAAACACAACGAAGGCTAAAATATGTATACAGAGGAATAAATTGTGAGAATGATTGAGTTTCTGGTTGACAATATCTTGGCGGCACGACTTTCCATTAGTGGGCAGACTGTAGGTACGTATTCCTATAGGAAGAAACCGTGCTCCTCCTCCGGTCAGCTTTATTTCATACGAAGCTAAATTTATTGTTCCGTAATAACGACAAAAACCCCCAAGACTTAGCCAAGTCCTTCTATTTTAACGATGTGCTGTTTTAAAATAACAAGAAATGTAATGACCTCATCGATCTTTAACCTCAGCCGCCTTCCTCGATCTTCCCTGATCAAAATAGATCTCTTAAAACTACGCTCTACGATAGGAAGGACGATTTTGATTTTTTGGTCATGGAGTTTCTCTTTCTTGATAGTTATATCTCTACTTCCCCATGATGCAGTTGATTTGGTCGGTATTCAAGAGCTTTATCAAAATACCTTAACTTCATGACTTCATCATGATATCATAGGTTTCGACTGCTGACTGACAAATTTACAGCATAGATATTCATAATTTACATATAACAGGGGAATATGCAATTTCTGTTTTGTGATAGGAAGGTCGATATTTTTAATTATGCCTTTGTTCATATTTTCCCTATTTTTATCGATTTTGAGTAAACACGTATGATTTTGATGACGCTATTCATGAACAGTCAAGCAAAAAACATGATTGCTGTAAAAAAAAAAGTGCAGAAATCAGTAGCGTAATATTTGACGCCATGTTTTAATGACGTCACGCTTGACAACAAAAATCAACGCATGTCTAACGTTTACAAGTATTTTCGGTTAACTTTTCCTAACAAAAATAGCTAAATAAATTATTACCAACGGCCTGAATCTGACAAATTATCACAATTCAAGTTTGTAGTATGCAATGAAAATTAATGAATTTCGAGCAATTGGAAAAAAGTCGAGATATATGTGGTTGGTGTTATGTGTTGTTTTATTTTTAAATCAAACTAACATTAAAGTAATATTATGTATATGTATACAAATTATTCAAATAATGCATTTGCAAAAGAGGGGAAATTGACAAAGTAGCCTGCATAATAGTTAAATGTGTATGAAAACAACTTGATTATTTCCCCAATATATACATATTTTGTTGACTTGACGTATGGTCTATAAATGTAATTTGTCAAGTTTCAATAGTATTCTTAGTAAAACTTTGAAATGTTTTAATGCATAGAATGTCTAGAAGGACACGGTTGCATACATATACAGTATACTGTACATGTAACCCCTTATTTCTTCTAAGTTTATGCATAACGTTATAAAATTGGCTTAATATATTTTGATTAAATTAATGCGTTCTAATTATCCTAATTCTGGCTTGCATGGAATAAGTCATTAAGTACAACTTCCCATTCGATTTTTAGCTTTTATTTTAAATATAGCTTATCATTTAATATGAGTTCCTGATCAGTAGATTTGTACTGTTCTAATTTTTCAAAATATGTATAAAGGGAGGCGACTCGCATGTAATCCGGGATTTCGATGCGCCGCTAACGTGGCTTCGCAGTCATAAAGTTGGCTACTCTGCAGCGTTGTAGGTTTTAGTATCTGATATAATATATTTATCCAACGTATAATATCGTTTATAAATTCTACATGTCATTTCAGTAAGTCTACTTTCTCTTAATAAACAGTTTGGATTTGATTTTCTATAACCGCAAAATAAGATCCATGGACCTAGGTTATCTTTTGTTGTATTTTGTCGTCCTGTCAGCAGTCGAGTTAATGAAAACACATACCTCCATGTGTGTCATGTATCCATGTACATGCGGTGGGGAGGGCATGTTGTACATTGTCCTATTCGTGTATATACAACTGCATCGGTGGACCTATTCTCCGGTATACCATTGCATTAATTGACCTGAATCCAATATACAGAAATGTACCTATGCTCTGGTAAACAATCGCATTCAACCGGTGTATTCAAAGTCTTATTTATCGATATGCAATTGCACTACTGGACCTATTCTCGGGTAAACAATTGCATCCATGAACCCCTTTCTTCATTATACCATTCATTCATGGACCGATTATCCGTAATGCAATTGCAGTCATGGACCTTCTATCCGTAATACCATTGCAATCATGGACCTATTCTCCGGTATGATAATACGCTCATGGACCTATTATCTGATAAACTATCACATCCATAGACATATTCTCCGGTATAAAACACCATAGCGAATCCGTATTATGAATGATGAAGAAAACATGTTTCACTTTCAGCGAATAATTTATTAAAGGGACAAAACGATGTAAAGTTTATAACATAAAACAATGACGGATATGTAAGAGCTCGATACACTATTATAGTCATGACGTAATTTGTTTGCTGTTCTGCTTATTAAACATTTTTGTCAATACTTGACGAACTTGTTGGGCTGAGCTGCGCCTGCGTGGCTTACTTTCGATCATCTTCCGGCGTTTCACCTCGCGGTGTAGCTCACAAAATAGTTCACAAATTTCCTCCCCGCCGTCACTGGCGGAGGTTTCAAAGAATGCACACGCCATGTCCTGAGCCAGCTTCTGTCCTTCAGATGTACTGATTTTCCGCTCGTGCAGAAGATCGGTTTTATTTCCCACTAGTATACACTGGACATTTGTCCGCTTGATGTCGTCCAGGTACTGTTTTATACTGTATATGTCCTCAAAACTCTGTCGGTCGTTAATGGCGTACACCAACACGAATCCATCAGCCCAGCGCACGTGACCTTCCCTATGGATTGTCTCGTCCTAGTAGTAGGAAATCAAAGAAACAGAATTGAAATACACACTTGGGAATGTACATGTAAGAATTTTGAAAATAGATGTTTTTGCCAATTATGAATCACACTGCGTCATAAAGATTTTTCGTGACTCGCCGGTGATACTGTACTAGGGATCAAAACGTTTAGAAATCCAAACTGGTCTAAATTACTGTAGAAACAGAAGGGATACAACGCTCCTTGATTATATGAATCATTAAGAAGACAACTTTTTTATTTAAAAGAAGGAGCAACAAAAAGGAGCTGTTATGGCTTACTGTAACTTCCCTGTCAAGTTATGTATTTTTATGTTTTTATACTTTGCGGTCCATCTATCGAACTTTCATTTCGATGCTGTTAATTTGTGATCCTTGGGTTATAACATAGGTAAAGTGTATAGGTTTGGCAGTGTAAAGGTGCTGAGTTTGACACCTGCAGTTTTGAATTGTATTTTTTTGTCAAACATTCGAATTTCATCCAACCATCGTAATTCAGTAAGATCCATTCCCTATGCCTTTTTTGATGACTGTACCGCATAATATCGTACATCTATTATTTCAAAATAACATGTGAACGCCACAGCCGTCTGGGAACTGTTCCAGACATATCGGGTTACTTAAGAAGGTAAATTAAAAAAAAGGGAAATCGTAAAATAAGTATCGAAACCGAAAGCGTGTTGCTTCGTTTTCTGTACCAACCTGTCCCGCTGTGTCCAGAATCTCAATAACCACTGGTTCGTCATCCACAACGGTATGGTGTTTGTATGTACATTCTGAAAATATAACAAGTTATTGTTATGAAACCGCGGGAAATGAAATCGCTTTTAAGTATAGTAAATCATCTCTATAATGTACCACGTTTTATATGCTACTTCGTTTACCACCGACATGTTTCAACCCCCTCCCCCTTGTCTTTTTTTTCATGAGAAAAATCCTGATATGTTTCCTCAATTTATCGCCCGACCCCTTTATAACGCCAAAATTCGCCTAGCAAAAAGATTGCGTTATAACGTGGTTTTACTGATCTCGAAAAACAGTGTTTAATGCTTCGTACATTGATGTTTCGTATGCTCTACAGATACATATCACGCTACGCAGGTTTTTACACCAAAGTTTTAAACGTTTTCAATGTTCATTCTGCTGTGTTCAGTTTCTCTGGACTGGTTTAAAATAAATTGATCCCGGCAAATGATTGACATTTAAATGGAACTTTAGATTGCAATGTTAATAACTGCATTCCGCTAGGAAATGGTTTTGTTTTCTTATGCTGGCGAAAGAGTGTTTGACGCGCGGGGTTTCTGTTTATCTTCGCGTTTTTAGCTTACCTAGTGTCGGGTCGTATTCCCAAATGAATCGCTTTGTTAAATACCTCACAACCAGGGCTGAAAGAAACAAAATTTTCGTTAGATTTCAAACACAACTCTTACCAACTTTAACGTAAAACAGCGACAGTACGTATACCTGTATTAACTCACCTTCATTCGTAAATTGTTATAATGTTAAATAAAATGTATTTATTATAACGATTGGACTTGCTTTTTGTATTTTATGTTCGGTGAAATAAAACTTTTTTTTTATTTCATCTTTTCGAAGCGTTAGAAATGAAGGTAGAACACACACATGTGATTTGACCTGTAAAATCTGGTAATTGGTACATTCACACAAAATAGTTAGAGCCCTGTACCATACTACTGTTTGGACATGGTGGTATCAATGGTGATACTAGGGGCCAAACAGGTGGAAACACAAATTGGTCTAAACTAGTGTTGAATTAATAAAAAGAGTACAAATTCAATTCAATTTAATAATGAGAAAATTATTAATATCATAAGTCGTGCCTCTAATTGTGGCCATCAAGGTTAAACGTTTAAAAATATCTTTAAAAATCATGAAATCATTAAAATTTGTTAAATTCCACTGTTAAAACAATTTAAAACTGGTTATTGTCACGTGTTGGTATCGATCTATTATTTAATCATAAAGATAACAAGCCGTTTAAATACTTTTGACGTTATGGGCTCAACTAAGCATTGCACTGTTTTGGCGTTTGACGCCTGAAAAGCTGTGTTTTTCTTTAGCCTGTTACATGCTATATATAAACACAGTTTAATGCTCATGTTTTTTTTAGTAAACGAGTGTTTTGAAATCCTAGAAATTAAAATATATTTATTCAAATTCTGCATTTAGTTCAAGTCAGTGTATGTATCGTGTGTTTGTTTACGTCACAGTTATGACGTCGTCATCTTGATGACGTCAACACGTGGGCCATGGCGCGTACAGGTTATATAAATACCAGGTATTGATCAGATATTAAACTTGCTTAAAGCGGGAAGACAGTGGATTCTGTTTCCAGGCTGGGATATACAAAAGTACTTAAACATGGTAGCTGTTCGACATTGTATTTCATTGAGGAAGCACTCTACAATCGATATCAGATCTTTGCTATCACAAGGATGTTAATACAACAGCATACCCTGCCTCCAGCACACATGCATTCAAACATTCCACACAGGGCGTAACGTGTTTAATAAACTGAGCTGTTAATAGGACGGACGCTAAACCCTAAAAAACAAACCCAAACCAAACTTGCTTATGAACATTCGTTGTGATTCCTCTAGCATTTAATGCCATTTTGTGAGTGATCGATGCGGATATAAGCCAAACGAAAACTACCGACAAGTATAAAGTATAAGGAGCCACGAGGGAGGTCATGGAAAAAGTCAGAACCACCCAGTTTTAATTGGTTACATAATAGCTCAAAACACCCAAATCAGTCCCTAGCTCACGATATTCGAGTGGGCTTCATCCTGTTCTGTCTAGATTTTGCATAATTTTTTAAGAACCTCAATATTTTGTTCGAAAATGTATATGTACATGTATGAACGCATTCTGTTTTAGTAGATGCGCTCCATGCTATATCAGCAATCATCAACTACAAACCAGAATGTTACCTACTAATTTAAGTTTTGGTTTGATTTTATTTTGTTTCGCCTCCTATTAACAGCTAAGGTAATTTAAGGATGTGCCTCCTTGTGCGTAGTGTACAGGTGCTTGTGTAAGTCTATGCAGAAGACATGGTATGTTGGGTGTTTGCCTTTTTGCCCAACACAGCATTCCGCCCGGTCACATTATACTGACAACGGGTGAACCAGTTGTTACCATTACCCTTAAACTAATTTAAGGACGTATGATTCATGTTTCTTACCGGGATTGTGCTTGTTTGTTAAGGGTTTAATGTCCTCACAACGGCTTGTGTCACATGCAAACGAGTATCTAGGTAAATACCATCGAAAGGGAGGAGTAGGTAATATAATACAGAAAGAAAAAGATATAGAACGGAAGTGTTGCAATGAAAGCAGAAAATCAATTGTGGTTTCTTCAATATCCTCTTAACAGAGCACAAATAAGAAAATCCCAATTCTGTAGGGAGCCAAAATTCGTCGCCTCTAACGATATAGTCGACGGTGCATCGCTAGAAATAATTGTTGACCCCGGATAATAATTTATGAACCGCTTTGAGACGACCTACGAACTAATGTTAGGTTGTGATAACGCGGTATATAAGAACCTCGAATTATTATTTATTACTTATGTTCTGAACATTCCAATTTACTAATTAAAATCACTAATTATCATATGCTAAACTATTTCCAAACACCAATAGACCACAGATAGATATAAACAATTACACATTTGGAAATAAGAGGATCTTCAATGCACCTCTTGCTATTGCTAATGATTCTAAATATAGCCTCTTCTCTTCTAGTACAGGTATGAACTTTCAAAATAAAACGGTATTTTCTACAATTATCTCTTAAATATTTACGTCTGAAAACTTCTGAAAAACTCAGTGATTTCATGTCAAATAATCATACTAGTGCTTGTTTCTATTTATAGATAATACATATAAGAATACTAATTATAACATCAGTCAAATGCAGTAAAGGAATATCATGCGTCACTGTTTTTATAGTGAATTATCTCCCTTTAATTGAATTTTTTACATGTACTTTTATAGATAGTATCATTCGTGGTCAATAATAGTTTGCCTGAAATCAACTAATCATCGAATAATGTAACCGTTGATTGAATCGCCATGACTTACGCCAAATAAACAAATTACATTTGCATTACCTTTCACGAGATTATCTTCTTGACACTTTTACAGTATATTTTAGGTCATACAAGCAGACTTTCAACTTACACAGGTAGTATATTTTCTATATTCATAAATGTTTGCATTTTTGGACAAATCTGGTTTTATACTAATTGCTTTGTCCTTAAAATGGTACATGCAGATGTTATTTCAAGCTAGTTATTCGGAATTTACGGTAATAGTAACATCTTATTCAACCATTGTCAGTATATTGTGACCGGACGGAATGCTGTGCTTGGTACCTCGGCATTATATTTCAGTGAGGTAGCACTATAATGTCAGTATCAGGTCTGCGTTATCGCCAGGAGGCAAATACGCCAACATTCCCCGTCTCCGGCACACATACACACATGCATTCATACGTGTCGCACATAGAGGCATATTCTTAAATGACCTGAGCTGTTCATAGGATTTTAAACCATATAAAACCGAAATCATGTACAATACCGATTAATAACACCACACATAAATGTCATATACGATGTTGAAGGGCTATTTGTAAATGTCAGATATCGAGTACATAGTGTAATGTCCAATGCCTAACCAAATATTCCCCGCTATATAGAATATAGATGCACTTTCGTTTTTATCAGAAATGGACAGCTTAAATACAGATATGAATGTACGAGTACATGTGATATCAATACATTATACTTTGTAGAATAATTATTTGACTTCGAAACCAAAACATTTTAAAGTTTCTATTTAATAGCATCATTATAAACAGTCATTTTAGAATGAAGATATTGTGTCTCTGGGGCTTTACAAGGAGACATCAGATACATTTTGGTTTTATCATATTTCCCCTTAGCCAAGGACAAGGCGAAAAAGCTATTTATAAGTCGCCTTATACGACACTTAGCAGGTTGTCTGCTGGATAACCGAACTACTCGGTAGTGAAGCGGACGTGAAACCTATCAATCAATCAATCAATCAATCAACACTTAGCAGGATACTGCAGGCGGGCATTAAACCCTCTACAACCGACCTACCTAGATATTCATTCCCTAGACCTGCAGAATAACAAAATAATACGCTAAACATTTGGTTACATAACGGCATATTACGAGAGTACGGATCTTATATCTAAAAACAATTAACGTAGCTGGAAACGAAACACTGTTTTGTCGACAAACACGACATACAGCTCTTGTCTGTTCCTGTTACAAGGTGGGACATCATCGAAATTAGTTGTGTTTAGTTACGATTTTTTTCATCCCCGGAATACATGCCATGACAAAATTGAAGGAGGCTATTTGATTAGTTTCATATAAATAAAGACCAACCGCTTGGCTGAACGATACCTGTCCTTTGAAGATTTCAGATGAGCGGCACCCGACTTCCAGTAGCCCCTGGAATTTCGAGTATGAGGTTTGAAGGATGTATATTGCCCGTTACACGTCTAACATAGGGTAACTGGGTCGTTAAAGTGTTTTAATCAGCTGTACTTGGAACACTCACTGACCCAGAGTAGGAAACAACGTGTAATCCCCGAATAATTGAATATTTGCTTTATTGCTTTGACGTATTCTTGATGACGCAAGCGTGCAATGTCATCAATTCCTATCCGCACTTATTAAATCACATAGCTGACCCTGTTAACAGGGGGAGAGCTACTTACATGCTCTGTAAAATAGTGCCCTAACCTACTTCAGCGCGTCTTGATGCATTAAGTTTTAATTGCAGCGCAGGTATTTTAATATTTATATTGCAGTTATGACGTAGGAGATTTCCCTGGATTTACAGCACATTGTACTGGATGTCTTATCCAGGAAACACTTTCTCCCTCGGAACACCTGTTTCGCATCCGGTTATTGTTGGCGCTTATGACGTCATTCCTTTTTGTTTCAGTATCAAACATTTTACCAGTACAATTTGTTCTTTTGCGCTTCATGATTTCTTCCATGGCTATTTCTTCTTACATTGTATGATATTCTTTATTTTATTTAAGGGGGTTGTAATAAACGAAGATGAGAGCAAACATGTCTTTCTTGGATTTACTGCCTTAATAATATAAGGTGGACTATTTTTACAAAACATCAGTTATTCAACGAACACGCGTCTTGATTTCTGTACAAAGCGTCAAGATTGACAGAAACATGATTTTCTCAGGTGTTCATGTGACATCATAGATTTTTTTTTCTATTTTTATGCATGTAAAAATATATATGTAAAACGATATCCTACCAACGCAAGCTTCCATACAAGTGCCGTTAAATAAGGTTG